AGTAATTGATGGAAGTCACTCATCGTGGTGTCCTGTGACCAGTGGGGTCCCCCAAGGCTCTGTCCTTGGACCCATACTGTTCAACATCTTCATTAATGATGTGGACACTGGAGTCAGAAGCGGACTGGCCATGTCCAGTTTTGGGCTCCACAATTCAAAAAGGATGTGGAGAAGCTTGAGAGAGTCCAGAGAAGAGCCACACGCATGATCAGAGGTCAGGGAAGCAGACCCTACGATGACAGGCTGAGAGCCCTGGGACTCTTTAGCCTGGAAAAGCGCAGGCTCAGGGGTGATCTGATGGCCACCTACAAGTTTATCAGGGGTGACCACCAGTATCTGGGGGAACGTTTGTTCACCAGAGCGCCCCTCGGGATGACAACTAGGTCGAATGGTCATAAACTACTACAAGACCATTTCAGGCTGGACATAAGGAAGAATTTCTTTACTGTCCCAGCCCCCAAGGTCTGGAACAGCCTGCCACCGGAGGTGGTTCAAGCGCCTACACTGAACACCTTCAAGAGCAAACTGGATGCTTATCTTGCTGCGATCCAATGACCCCAGCTGACTTCCTGCCCTTGGGCAGGGGGCTGGACTCGATGATCTTCCAAGGTCCCTTCCAGCCCTAATGTCTATGAAATCTATGAAATTGCCCACCCCTGGCATAGACAAATTCTTGAAATGTAAGTCTTGGTCTATGGACTGTGTAAACATGAGTGATGAAAACTTGGTCCAGATCTTTAGCTATTGCAAACTGGTGCATCTCTGTTGACTTCAGTGGAGCTATACTCAGTACCTGTACATGTCTCTAGAAATTTTCCCCATTGCAGCTCTAAAGCTGTCTGATTTTTAATTATTATACCTTTCATTTCCTCCGTTTTCTCTTGGAGCTTCTCTTGTAAAACTTCTTTCTCTGCCTGCAATTCTTTAGCTTGTTTCTCAAGTTTTGAGATTTTCTGCAAATATAAGTAAACATGATACTGAATGTAAAAAAATCTTCATTAAAAACACCCATCTTATAGTTGAAATAGAACATGGGCTTTACTAGGGGTTGTAGATTCACAGCGATGCCCAGAATCAGAGTTGCCATAGTAACCAAAAGACATAAAATTATATTGCAAGCAAGAACAAGAAGATTAACCTGTTCCTTGTCATCCTTGTATTTCTTCCCTTTATCCTCAGAGATTCTTTTCTGTGTGGTTAATTTTTCAAGTTCTAATTCAAGTTTCTGGATTGTATCTAGGTCATGTGCATGAGTTGAAGCTAGGCTGGTCAATCTCTCCAGTAAGCCATGATTTTCTTTGCTCTACAATGATTAAAAAAAGGTAAGAATGATACCAATTGAAAAATGTTGTTCCATTCTGCTTGGTAACTTAGATTATCAGTGCAAAACTTTCTGCTCTATCCTTTCAGCAACTTCCAAATTACCTCGTTTCTTTTACTGGGAAATGAATAACTGGTCATTTCTTTAACTGGTCATTTCTATAACTTTTAAAACAGGATTTTGAACAGTACTAGCGTACTAAAATCTTATTCAAATAGACCTTATTATGATGCTTAGGTACAGAGTGAAGTAATACCTGGACAACCCCATTTATATCCTTACCTTACGTATAAGAAAGCAGTTACCCATGCCTGTCCCTGACTGCTCTTGCTCAATCCCCTTTACTGAAGCCAGAGATTTCACCTCATCCCGCCCCCTTTAAAACCACATTAATGCTGTTAAAAAAATAATTTGCCTGGGATGGATCTTGTAAACCATCTTTGAAAGGAAAACATGCTAGACCACAAAAAATAGCAAATGTGTCAACTAGAGTTGTAGCCAACAGAGTTCTAATCCCAGTATGAAAAGGGTCAAAGAGATCCGACTGAAGAGTTGTAAAGAACACAGAAATTGCCATGCAATTGTCTGACTAGTGGTCCTTCTAGTCTAAAATATCATCTTCAACAAGGGCCAATACCAAATGCTCCAAAGATGCAAGAAATTCCTTTGGTGGACAAATACAGTACAGCAGGAAGACAGTGATTGATATATGCTTTTAAGGATAAAGGTCCATATTTTTTGTATAATTTTTTATCTTGCCAAATGAGCTCGAGATTATATTGATCACACAAATGTTCAATTCACAATGTATCTGGTTCTGAATAAAACAAACATGCTCAAAAAAAAAAAAAAAAAAGAAGAAAAAGAAAGAAATCCTGATGCACATATGTCACCTACCTGGTCCTCTAGTTTCTTCTGTAATCGCTGAACCCTGTATGAAAGCTGAATATTCAAAACAAACCGCCGAATGTTCTGAAATCTACGCCTCGCAAGCCAGGCACGGGCATACTTCTGAAGGATAATTGCCTTGTGTTCTTTGAGCATCTGGAAAAGGAGAGAGCTGGTAGAGCAATCAGCACTGGCTCAGATATTCTGTAAATCTATATTGTAGATAAAGAATTGTTTCTACAGAAAGTGTCAAAGTACTAATATATTTAAATAGCATATCAAAACCATAATATTGCCTCCCAACATTTAAAACTTGGACAACCAAGCTGCAACCTACATGAAATTCTGAGGTTCAAGATTACTTTCTATAATACTACATTGACCCGCTAAAAGGTTCAAGAATCATTTGTACAAAAGATACAGTATTAAGCATCATTTTATAGTACATTAGCTATTCCCATACACTAGGATCACATACAAAAAATGTTGTACCTTTCGGTATTTTTTCCTTGCTAAAAATCCTCGTGTATACGCTTGAATTGTTACAGCAGCCACATGGATGAGCTGACAAAGTTTACGGACAAGGTATCCTCGACAGTACTTCTGAATGACTATAGCTGCCCATGTTTGCTTTAGGGCTGTAGCAGTTATGGCTTGCCTTAATTAAGAAGAAAATAAATATTTTTTTAATTCACGTGAGACTCCTTGTGCTTTTCCTCTTGTCAGAGAAGGTTCAAATACGGAGCAAAAAAGGAAATAATAGGATGGATAATTTAAATCACATTTCAACTAAACAACACTGTGTATAGTTCTAGTTCCATAACTCATTATTCTAATATTATAAAAGCCTTAGTCTGTCTGTCCATAACACTTTATTTGCACTCTGATTGCTTGTCTGAAACAACCAGAGTGCTCCAAGAGCATTCTGGAGAGGAGACAGCAGCAGAGCCTTGCCATGACGTCGGGGACAGAGCGGAGGGGTGAGGCCAGCACTGATGGCCTCGCCCCACCCAGCCCTGCTCCCTGGAAGTGGCGGCAACGGCACAGTGGGGCGAGGCCAGAAGTGCTGGCCCGGCCTGCCCACCCCCCCAGCTCCTTGGAGGAGGTGGCGAGTGGAGTGGGCCTGTACAGCAGGAGAGGAGGTGGGAAGCAGCCCTGGGCCCGATTTGGGGGGGGGGAAGGAAGAGGGGCCCCAGGCTCCATGAGGCCGGGAGTGGGTGGGGGGGAAAGGACCCGCCCTGCCGGGGGGAAAGGAGTGGGCCTGAGCCCGATGCCGTGGAGAAGGGGAGGGGAGTGGGGCCAAACTCCAAATGGCAGGGGCGGAGGCGGAGAAGGGGAGAATGGGCGCAGATGAGGTGTGGGGGGGCAAACACTGGGCTCTATCCACGCCTGCCCCTCCCCTGTCATTCTTGATGGGCAATTTGCTAGTCTGTAATAAAAGTATTTTGCAATAATTTCTAAGATCTTGGCATTTTAATGCAATACAGAGGTGAATTTAGGACTAAAAAAGGATGTTCCATATACTGCAACATGATATAACATTTTACTCTTAAGTGCCAAGTGGACAGAGTCCTGTTACCTGGTCAGGCTCAGTCCACACCTACAGATCTACAAACCTTACATAGAGGAAACTCCTCTCTAGAGTGACTAGAACAGGTTTTCTCCTATTGGGATCTGCATCCCCAGACTATGTCCCAGCTGGTGAAAATTAGCAAGACAAACCATGGGCTTGTCAAGTAAGGGAAATTAAGATAGGGATGCTGAGATGTACATTCACAATGCTCTAGCGTCTCCCTACTACAGCCTCATACAGTTGCACTTAGTGGGTGCATCTACAGGTGCAATTAATGCAACACAATAAGCTCTGGTGCTGTTTGAACCAGAGAAAACTACTCCTGGGTGCAGTGCCTCCATGTGCAGCCAAGACAGCAGCAATTTGAGATGGGGCAGAGTAGCCCAGGCTGCAGGGATGCTTTACTGTGGAGCTAATTAGTCTACTCCTGCAGTAAAGCACACATGTAGGTGGACCCAATGTGTGTTAAGTGTGCCTTTGGGTGAGGCTGTTCATTTCTGTTTCAAAGCAGAGTAAGCTACCTTACTGAGCAGCAAGAGTGTCCACATGAGGAGTTAGTGCAGAGTAGGGAGCAAGCTGTAAACTTCATAGTAACTTCCCTGTTTAAATAAGCCTTTAATCAGGGGCAGATTAACAGGTGGGCTCGGCCCCCTGGGGCACGAGGGTCAGCTCGGCCCACGCAGGCATGCTGGCTAAAGAAATCCAGGGTCGGCAGCATGCACCTCCAAGCCAGGGCCAGGGGTGGGAGCAGGTCTTCCAGTGGACAGTGGTGACGTGGACACTGGTGGCTTTCTGGGGCCATCTGTGGGAGGTTGCTGGCACCAGGATGGGATGGGACAGAGGGGTAGGCAGGCAACCAGGGAAGTCGTGGAGCCCGTGTCCCCCTCCCCCTAGGCTAGCCCCGGCCCTGACCTGTCTCACAGAACCGGGGGATTTCAACCCTGGCTGTGAGGCACCCACTGGACAGAGGGGCCGGGATGGGCCAGGCCAGGGCCTGGGCTGCCTTCACCTCGGCAGTGCTCATGGCCCCTGGCTTGCCCCAGACGTGCCAAGGAGGTTGGGAGAGTCCAGCCAGAGCCCCCTGGTGGGCACAAAGGAAACCTGCCCTTGCCTAGTGGGGGGACTCTAATTTTCTATTTGCCCAGAGCCCCAATAAATCTTAATCTGCCACTGCCTTTAATAGACAAGCCTGGTAAAGGGGACAGACTACTAAAATGCTTCTGGATGACGCTTCAGATACAGTGAACAATGAAAAACTGTTTCTCACTGGCCTAAAGATATCTTTTTCTCTGACCAATTTAAGTGAAGCAGGCTTAAGAACAACCCAGACTGTCCAACTTTACCCACCAAAAGCAATTGTTTGGGGGAGCCTCTGTCTAAAACCTACTATCTACAGTTGTAACCATATACCTCACAGGCTGCTGGCTATAGCAGCCTCAGTACTGCACAAGCCTACACAGTCCCATACATCAGACTGAGGATAGTCAAGCAGTAAAAAGCCAATTTGCATGCACTGCCTGACCTTATCTAGGGCTCTGAAGCTAATCAGTTGTTTTGGGCTTACTAGTGTGCCACTTGGCATCAGACACAGAAGGACAGAAGTTCTGGCGTATCCAGGACTTTCAGGAATTAGGCTTACTGCATCTGAAATTTGCTAGAGTACTTCCTGAATACCAGTGACCAATGATGACAATGATTTGGCATGTGTTTAGCACTCCCTATCCACTAATCTAAAATGCTTTATAGGCATAGAAAGATTGATGTGATACCTACCTCACAGGTAAGGAAACAGGCAGAGAGAGGTTAAAAATGATTTAAAGTCATACATAAATTCAAGAGGGGAAAAAAAGTGATACCTGAAGTACAATTTTAAACTCTACACTTGCTGGGTAAGGATTTGCCTGGGATAGTTTAGGAATAAGTTATCCTGCATTTGTGCAGGGAGTTGGACTAGATGACCCTTGAGGTCCCTTACAAACCTGTGATGAATCTGATCTTCTAGACCTCTTTACATACACCCTAATAGCAAACTGATTTATTAGCATGAAATACCGTACAGTCCGCTGTCCACGGAAGTACTGCTGTATTATAATAGTTGCTCGTCTGACATGGAGGAATTTCTTCCGCTGCAGCCAGCCTCGGACGTTCTTTTGGATCACGATGCAGGCTTGCCTCAGTTTGTCTGACCGTAGTTTTTCTAAATAAGCAACCTGCCCTGCTCTAAAGAAAATTTTTGTTCGCCCAAACTGATACTGGTTAGGATCCTGAAAGAAAACAAAGCAAAGCAAAGCAGTAGTTTGTTTATAAGCTGCAATTTCTTCTTCCTCAAAAACCACACATTTCATCTTTCATAAAATTTAGCACAGTAGCTGAGCAATGCAAAAATGACAAGACCTGGTTAACTCTGAGTACTGCCTACCATCTTTATACCTGCAGGGAATCTTTTAGCACATGCACATGACGGGGAAAGGCACAGAACAGAATGCTAAATCCAAAGGTTACTCCCAGGCATGTCAATGAGAAAAGATTTAATCCCCAAAATGTAAAAATAAAGCAATACCAAAAGGATCCCAAAACACACAGCCCCCAGACTAAGAAAAAAACATTTCAGGAGTAAACCTCAATGGTTTCCCTAACTTATGCACTCTGTTTATTGTAGCATCTTTCTACCTGGCAAAAATAACGCACATAAGGAACCTGAATGCAAAAGTGCCTGAGGAACCTGCTTATTGTCAGTTTTGTGTATTTTATACTTGTATCTTTCATCCTACAACATCTCAAACTAATTTAAAAATTATGGCTCAACTTCTGCTCACAGCTACCTTGGATGTAAGTCAACAGTCATTTTGTTAATTTAAGTGGTATAACTGAAGGCAGATTTGGGCTTTGTGTATTTTCATATTGATAGAAATTACAGCCACATCTCAGAAGAAGAGCTAGAAGGAGAGCTACCAGTAACTGGTAGTATACAGGAGTTGTACAGAAGTAATAGAAAGGAAGAAAATATTTTAAACTAAAACCAGTCCAGAACAAAGACTGGCTCTTGAATGTTAAGAGCCAGAGGGCACCAGTTTTTCAAATCTTGTTGGAAAAAACACACCTGCAGTAAACTGTTCAGTAAATTAGATTAGTATCTTCCAGAGGATAAAGGACTGAACTGAACCTGCTGGGATTAAAATGTTGGCTTCAAAAGAGCCTGACTGCAGGGTAACATATTCTTCGAACAGTTCTACAGAATTTATGGCATCCTAGCATGAAAGGCCTATTAAATTACATAAACACACAGAGGTCTTAGTAAGTGTTTGTCCCAGGGGGACACAAACGGAGGTCCCGTAACACCCTCTCATGGCAGGACCTGAGACTGGGGTGAGCTCCCGGAAGGACAAAACCAAAGCTCTAAAAAGAGGGCTTACTTACCTCTGACAGGAAAAACCGCGCTGTGCCGTGAAGAGCTGCCAGCGCGGTTCATCAGCTGCTTTTATTTGCAGCTGGGAGCGGCACCGGCAGATGACATCATCGAAAACCGCTGCCCGGCGGATTTAAAGAGCCGGCGGCGGGGAAACAGCGCGGGCAGCAGCTAAGCCAAGGGCAGGAGGCGAAGCTGCTCCCCGGGCTACAGGACCGCAGAAGCAGCAGATCTTCAGGGGGCTGGACAGGGACCCATCAGAGGGGTCCCGGCGCCCTTAAAAGGGTAAACACCCAGCTCGGCAGGACAGCCGGGCCAAGGAGGATGGCATTGAGGGATTCAGATGACCACAGACGCTGGAGCCATGAATGGGGTGGGCTGTGGCCTGAACCCCTCCTGTTCCTTTTCTTTCCTCCTTTTTTCTGTTTATGTTAGCATCTTGAATGACACTCAGACCTGAACCAGGGAGGCATCCCCAACTGACCCAAAGGGTCAAGAAGAGGAGTGGAGGCAGCCTTGACGAACACGACAGCTCGAAGATAGGGCCAAAGCAGAGATTGAGGCAGGACCGGTCCCACACCTTGTAGACACTCGGGGCGAAAAAAGATACTGAGGGACAGGAAAGAGGGGGCAAGAGCAGGAGGGAACATCAAAGAGACAAGCTGGAGATCCATCACATGGTTGTCCTGAAGCCTGGTGTATGGCTGGGGTGTAGGGTAGATGGAGCCCCAAGAACACCCACAAGGGGCAGCGCCCAGTCCGCAAGGTCCCACGAGGGAGAACCCCACTACTAAAAGGAAGATCAAGTCATGGCAGGCGAGTTTTCAGGGCATCCCTTGGAGTCGAACGCAGCCCAACGCCCAAGTTTCGGGGACACATCCCGCGGCCTGAACCGGGCATGCGCTCTAAGGCTGCTAGAGAGCACCTATACCAAACCAGGAGGGTGCAGTGTTTTTGTTTTATTTCTTTTTATATATACATTATATATATATATATATATATTGCTTATATACAACAGAGGAATTGTGGTGTGTATTTGGAAAGAAGGGGGCAGAAAGAGGAGTAACAACTATAAGGAAATAATAATTACATACTGTTGTGCCAAGGTATTCAAAAGAGTGATATTTAATGGATTCAAAGGAAGATTGAAGAGTAATTGAGCAAAGAGGAACATGGGTTCCAAAGGGAAAGACTTCATGTTTGCTATTAGAGAGATGGCAAGAAAGATTTGGGAATGTAACAAAAAAGTTTCCTTTGCTTTCACTGTTATGGAGAAGGCCCAGGACAGGGTTCCATTGGAGAAAGGAGAGAAGAATCAGAAAGGTTAAATGTAAGTAAAGCATATGTGGATTCCATTAGAGAATGTAAGAAGTTCATGTATGTTGTGTGCAGACAAAGTATGGAGAGATGGAATGGTTTCCTGTGAGGCTTTCTTTGCACTTGGGCAGCATGTCGGTTCCAATACTTTTTAGGGCAGCTACAGAAGGAGTTCTTCAAAATGTGGAGAGGACGCAGAACAGAGCGAAGGCCATCTTGTTCTATGAGGATGTGATGAGTTAGGATGCAAGGACAGAAGCTTTACTCCATATTGATATGGAGAATACAGATTGAAGATTAATAAAGATGAGAGCAAAATGATGATTACAGAAAAGGGAATGTGCCCCCATACACAGAAAGCTATGTTAAGAGAGTATTAAAAATAGCTGATGGATTAAAGGATCTTGGTTCAGGGGGCAAGAGTGACAGGAGGATTGAAAAAGAACTGACAAGGAGGCTGTAGGATACCATATGGAACGCTCAGACTGCATATTAAAAATAAGAAGCAAAGGGAAGGCTGTGATGAAGATAAAGTGGTTCCTGGGAGAAAATACTGACAGAAAGGTAAGAAGAGATGGATGGAGTCAGTGTATTGTCAGACAGCCAGAAGCTGGAACCAGTAACTAATGATGACAATGATTTAGCATGTGTTTAGCACTCCCTATCCACTAATCTAAAATGTTTTATAAGCACAGAAAGACTGACATGATACCCATCTCACAGATAAGGAAACAGACAGAGAGTGGTTAAGTAACTTGCTTGTGGCCACACACAAACTGTAACAGATGGAGAAAGAACATGACTCAGCCCTGGGCTGAGTCCACTAGACCAGAAGAAATCAAATTACCTCACCAACAAGCATGAAAAGACTATATAAAATATGATCAATATTGGATCTTTTGCATTTATAATAGATTCTACAGCACGTAACGGTCAGGTGCAGAAATACTAACCTGGATTAGCCGCTGCAAAACAGTTCTGCAAATCTTTTTCTTGTCACTTAGTGAGAGTTCATGCTGCATCATGAGAATGCTATAACGGCTGAAAAACTCTATGTATGTCCACCTATACAATGACAAGTTTGAGCATGTAAATTATTTAAATAGATCTAAATACTGTCATTGAACTAAAAAAGAACAATTGCTCACCTGGAAGGATAGCTCTGTGCACTAATTCGAATAGTTTCCAGAACACCACATGCTCGAAGCTGCTGAGCCACCCGCTTGGAGTCAAACCTCAGGAAGCAGATTTTACATATTTAGTTCTTCTGGATTTTTCAGATTCTGTTTTAATTACTGATTGTATTTCTTCCAGAGATTAAAACCTGCTTGTCTAAGTGGAGCCTAGGTAATAGGTTTTTTTAACCATAAAACAAAACTGTAGGTTTTAAAATATTGATGAGTTATATAATATTGTTCTACAAAGAACAGATACAGAGGAGGATGACAAGTCAAAATTCACTTATTTAGACAGCTGGATAATAATACACTCTATGTCAACTAAGGACCTAGTCTTGCAAACCCTGAACACAGCACTATCAACTATACATAGATCAAGGTTTTTTCAGACCAAAAGGGGTTTTAATTGAATGAATACTTTCTTGTTAATATTACAATTAAAAGTAGAAGCACAGATGGTTCCAAAGTAATTTTCAGGTGTCTGAGAAAGGTTTTTTCCTTTACAGCAATTTCAGTATATGCTGCAGTATTCTGGGGAAAAGTGAAAAATATTACATACCCTTGACACTGCACACAGCTCTCTTCTGTGTGCTTCTAATTTCCTCAAAACTATTTTTATTTAAAAAAATATGAAAATGTCTGTGACTTCACTTCAGATATCCACATATATTAATTTTCACCCTCAAAAACAAGCACACCCATGAATCTAAAATTAAAACGTCCAGCCTTCCCTCCTAACATTTTATTAAAAAGAAAAACCACTAATACATGACTTTTAAGCTGATAGAAAATTTCCAATGTCTTAATAAATATGATCCAGAGAATCATGTGATATTCATTGTTCTATAACGTTCATTGTGTAAAAACATTAAAACTGTTTTACTTCAGTATTCTTTAAAGGAATAAAATACATTCTGAATGTGAAGTCTGGTTAATCAAGAACAGGCAACTGACTTCTGGTTAATCTAAAAAGGAAACTATTCTTCTTCATTAAAGATAGTATATTATTTCAAAAGCACTAAGATACTCACTCAAATGGCATCTTCTCATCATTTGGCTTTATGCATCGGACATAGTGAGGTGTGGTTGCATTAAGTGTCTCCATAAGCAAATACAAAGAACTGCGGAACTAGAAAACAATAAGGCAGCAGTTTAGTTAATTGAATGTTTACATTCAAACAATACATCTTCTGGCTGGAAGCTGTGACAAAAATACAGGCTGTAGTATTCTTAGAGGTCTGCTCATTCAAATGTTGGCACTATTTACCAAGATATTATACAAAGACGTAAACAAGCACACATGTTGAAATAATAGTAATTGGGCTGGCCCTAGTTGAACTGCATACTATGTAGCCAAGAAACATGTTGTTTCCAACAATGAATACATGACAGCACAATGCTCATAATTATGAATGTCTGAATATCAGGCCCACAAATAAAAGTTCATTGGCGTATGAGTATCAGCAGTATTTTCCACTTCAGCCAGTAAACACGGTACCTTATTGCCAACTGTTGTCCGGAACTGTTTGTTAGGGGCCTTGACCACTGGTCTTGCAGGTTTGACTTTGATAGCTGAACCGAAGCGTGAAATGGGTGCTGGATTGTCTTTAAAAAAGTTTGCACAGAGATGAAACTGAAAGTGTGAAGAAAGGATTTCAGTTAAAACTAGGAGTAATTCTATCAATTATTTAATATAGTAATTATAATGATACATATATAATGATGATACATATATAATTGCTAGTCATGGACCTTAAGGTCTCTGGCCAATTGGAATTAAAATATATAGTTTGGAATTAATTCAGACCTAGTTAAAATTCTTAAACATAAGCTGGTCTCAAGTTAGTAACATTAAATGAAAGAATTCTATGTCAATCTTTACTAATACTCCATGGGAAATCTGGTGTCTCCATAGACTAATTAGCCATGAATTTACAAACCTTGCTGCTTTTCAAAATTTCAATTAAAACTTCATAGACTGTATCTCTGTTTTTTTCCAAAAATCCTTCACATTTATATTCTACCTGTGCAAAGAAGCAAGATAATTAATTTTATAGCAACAACAACATGAACAAGTACTAAAAAGAACTTTCTTACCACTGAGATGTGCTAGGTACTGGAGAAGGGTTTGTCTTAATAACCCAATATCTGTAGTACTCCTACATACTCTGGGTAAAATTCTGCCTTTATCATTATGCTAGGTGCAAAGCCCACATTGTAGCAGCTAGACAAACTGGCGCAATGCACTGTTAGCTGCCCTCTGGCTCTCCCTTAATTAAAATCTGTCCACATCAAGCTGTCTGCGGAATACCATATTCTCTTAGTACACGTTACATAGGCTGGCATCTTGGTCAGACATTCCTTCAAGTGTTCTTATCTTCTTTACCCACTCCCATCAGTTACTCTTTCACCCCATTTCCACTCTCAGCATCCCCCAGAAACCAAAAAACTGTTTCTAATATAAATAACGTATATTAATATAACTCTACGGTACTAACAAGATGTGTGTCAGTTGCGTCCATGACTATTTTGCTTGTATGTTACAGCCTTTTTTCTACAACCTTAAACTGAATTTTTTGGCTTATGTTCACAAATTTATGACTGCATGTAGGCTGTTTAGAGCAGGGACTTCCCCTCTCCACCATACAATGTAGGCCCTCCTGCCAATAAGCAAATAATTAATATTAAATATGCTTATAAAGGTGGTTTATGACAAGTAAGACTAACAGTTGAATCTACATTTAGTAGATTCTTTCCTATTAAAGCTGGTTGAAAAATAGTTGTGGGCCATACCTTATCAGCAAAGTGCTGGATGATAAAAGATGTGTTTGACATTCTTGGCTTTTGAAAGAGTGGGTTCTTGTTGATAAAATTATTATACAGCTTTTGAAGCCAATTTTCATCTGTTCCCTGAGGTAACTGTAAAAAGGCAAACAGTGAGGCTGTTTAATAAAATAGAAGATTAACAACAAGAAAACTGCTTATCAATTAATGCCTTTTTACTAATATCATTGCATACCTTTAGTAACTTCCCATATGTCTTATAAATGCTCTGAATTCTGAAAGCTGTGACTTGCCAGTGTCTATGACAGGAGGTCATCACGAGGCCAGTCTAACGTTGGCCTGCCCACCTGTCTAGGGCAGTCTGCTCTGCCTCTCCTGCCATAGCTTGATGTTTAATAAACTAAATGTAATAAGGGGGAGGCTGCCTATCTTAATGCCCTGATGCCTAGGGCGATATACACAGCTCCGACCTTCCCTATACCATGTTCTATGTCTCACAGATGGCATCCATATTGCTACAGTGCTTCACACTGTGACCCATGCTCCAAAGTCTCACATGGGACTCACTCATGCCCCCTTACTGGGGCTCACTCCCTGAACTACTTGTGGGGCTGGCTTATATACAGATCTTCAGTTCACCCTTGCATGCCCCAGCCCTCCAGGTCACCCCCATGACCCTACTCCACACCAATACTGTATAGCCCTTCAGGCCACCCTTGCGGCCCTACTCTACGTGGCTCATTCTCTCACTATACCCCCCTCGCAGGGCCAACACTCTGTCCCCTTCGCTGGAGCCATTCTTCCACCCCCTCATTATGGCCAACTCCTGGCCCCCCTCACCAGGGCCTTGGGGTCTTACACCCCATGGGCTCAGGTATCTAAAGATGTGCCTGGCCCCACAGCCTCCCTACTACTCACTATGCTGTGGGGGTTGGAGCTATAAGGCGCTCCTTACTTGCCTTTCACTGGGAAGGCAACTGGCATGGCATTTCCTGGGGACTACCTCGCCATGGGTGGACCCACCATGCTATCCTACTGCAGCAGAGTGTAGTGTTCAGTCATACCGCAGGACCAGGAGCATCCTGCCATCCCCATAGCTCCTGTCCTTACCTCCAAGAATGTTCTGAGCAGCAGCTTAGCTGGTAGGGGTATGCGAAACGTGCTGTATTCTATTTGGATTCAGCCTGAATTAGGGACAGTGATTCAATTCATTGATTCGGATCACTGTCCTGATTTGGCCAAATTTGAATCTGCAGATTCGATGCTGAATCGGAGAATCAGTGATTCAGACATAGACACAGCTTTAAATGTTTTTTCTACATACCTTGAGATATCAGACGCAGCTCATGAACACTGCTATGGTGGGGCACACATTTAAAGCTGTCTATGTTTGAATTGTTGAATCTTTCCAAATCTCTCTGAATCAATTTGGAGGGTTCTGATTGGATTCGGAGAGATTACAGGGTCTCCTGATTCTATTCGGAGATTCAGCCACCGAATTGGGCCAAATCTCCACTGAATTGAATCAGTGACTGAAGTGTCACACAGCCCTATCAGCTGGGTGGTGTTTTTCCAGCTGCCAGCAGCAGACTGCTGGCTCAGCAATGAGTGCCCAAGTTAAAATGGAGGCTGCTCAGCTCCCTCCTCCAATCACAGGATCCTCCTGCAGTTATGTGACCACCTCATTAGGGCTGGTCCACACCTGTCAGCTGCCCTGCTGCCTGCTCTAAGCCCTTAAAGTGGCAGGCACCAAAGTTGCTCTGTCACACAGTGTTACACAGAAATCTCCTGGGAGATCTTTTCTTTCCTGGTCATGTCCTTTATAAATAAGATTATGTTTTCCCTTTAAAATACAGACCCTTGCTGCATGTGCCTGATATAACAGATAAAGAAATGGTGAAAGAGAAGGAGAGAAACTGTAAGACAAGAAGGTTGGATGGTGCACAGACAGCAAGTGGGAGTGCTGTAAGAGAAGGGGTGCAGCTCTGGTATAGCTAAGGTGTAGCTGAAAGTGAGGAAGGGAAGCTTGGTTGCCTACAACAGCAGGGGACTAGATTTGGTGACTTAAATGGGCTCTGTTCTTTGTTCTTAATTTTAAGTGGAATAAAAAAAGCAAACAGAACAAATGGATTTAAGCAAGAACAGCAGCTGTTATATTCTAATTGTTATGTGTGAACAAGCTGAGAAAGTTACAAATGTAGCAAAATCACATCAACATTAACAGAACTTCATTCAGCATTAAAGATGGAGCAGTTTTGCCATATTTGTATCATTAATTTCTACATGCTCCTTTCCTCTCCGGTGCTATTATTCTTTTAGTAATCAGGTTCTCTATTCTACTGCACTTCTCTTGTAGCCACTCCTGATAATATCTCTTTGCTCCTACTTTACAGCTCTTCTCCATTCCTTTAAGCAACCTGTTTTTATTTATATATGGATTAATATACATGCTTTTGTTGTATCTGCTATTTAATGCCAATTCTCAACCAAGCCAGAAGACCTTGGTCCTGACCCAGATGCCATCTGTGCCCCCTCAACACAGACTACACCAGCTTGGAACCCATTAGTCTCTAAGGTGCCTCCCCTGCTCTATTTCCTGCCAATAATAAAAGATTCTCTGAATCTGTAGAAGATAATCAGGAAATTCAGAGATCTGTTACTGTATCAGCAAGGTGCTTATCTTTAAATTTTGAACAGGAAAAAATGGATTAAGCCCCAAATTTTGGTCAAAACACAACATGAAGAAATGTTTTCATTGTTTAATATGCCAGCTCATTAGTATAACAAGTTAGAAGTTACCAAGCACTCTTCATCTAGCAGCTCCAATATTCCCATTTTAGCTTCAATAAGGTCAATAGCTGGTTGGTTGTCATAAAAATCTATTAGGGTCCATGGGATATCTTCCTTCATATACTCCTCTTGTTCAAGTTTAAAGACATGCTAGCAATGAAAATGTCAACATTACCAAAAATACAGGTTAATTATTTAGAAACACAATACAGGCAGTTTAGTAATACATTAAAAAACACAGGGAAAGCTACCATGTTCATGTGATATGCAGTAGAGTATATATCTTTGAAAAAAAGTGGGCTTTTATATACAAAAAATAAAATATCTTCTTTATTACTGTGAATTGTTACAATACATACCAGCCAAGATATACAATTGCAACAAAACATACTCACGTACCAGGTTAAATTGTTGTTGTAGTTTTTCATTAGCATAATTGATACAAAATTGTTCAAAACTGTTCACATCAAAAGTTTCAAAGCTGAAATACATTATAAATAAGAGGAAGATGTAATAGCATGGGGAAAAATAGGCACATGATCACTTAAGAGTAACTGCTAATTCTCTATGGGACTTTGGAGTAAGATGCTGCTTATAATAGAAATATATACTAACTTGATATTCTCTCAAATTTCCTAGCTCAGGCCTGAATATACAATGGAATTGAAAACGTTCCAAAAAACTAAGATAACCAACCAGTAAAGCAGCACATTGTACATCAAAGTAACAGTACCTTTAGAGTGGGTTCCCCAGAAACATTTCTGAAAAGGTGAATATGAAAGACTGGTATCATGAGAAGTAACAAACTCAAGGACAATTGTTACTTTAAGATGCAATAAATATTAATCTTCATAAACAAGTTGTGCTACAGTACTGCAGGCAGAAGATTTTACAGAACACAAGACTGCATCTCTGGATAAATGGAGTCTTTGAAAGCTAATTCACAGTAACACAGAATGTACATAACATTTCCCAAATCATAGACATACAGGTCAGAGACTAGAGACATACTGACAGCAAAGAAAGGTAGATCATTACATTCATTTTTCTCCAGAGATAATCTTACCCATAAATGTCTAGGACGCCAATAAAAGTGTGCTGCTTCCCAGTAAACTGCAAGGCTTGGTTAATTCTTTCCACAATGTAGTCAAACAAGTGAGAATAGATTTTCTTTGCCAATGCATCCCTAGCATTAAGAGCTTGTAGTTTTGTCATTGGCTTTATTACAGTCTCTGAGGAAGTGATAATCTTTCGCTGGCACAACCACTGTGCCATTGGTTCACTATCCAAATCCAGAAGTTCACAGAATATATCAAGATGTTTATCCTCCAGCTTTAAAGGAGAAAAATAAATATTAATAGAATGTATTTAAAAGTTGTATCTAATGAATACTTAAAATACATAGGTGGAATCCTGGCCCTGTTGGAGTCAGTGGCCGCATATGTGTGGACTTAAAAAAGGTCAGGATTTCAACCTATGGGATTTGTTTATGATATAGGACCATACTCAGCATTTGTTATTCAAGTAAACATCCCTACTGATGTCAAAAGGGGTTCTATGGAGCATGCAATGCTCAAAAGAACCTTCTCTACAGAGAGGGATAGCTCCCCTGGACTGGACAAGATGAACCTACTGCAGAGTGAAGAAGAGGAAGGTAGTTTTAAGCTATATTGCGTTCCCCTGGTTTGGGGGCCACTAAATGTTGGTTTAGACCAGTGATTCTCAATCATAGTGCCATGGCATCCTGGGGTGCCTTGAGATCTTTTCCAGGGTGCCATACAATGTTAGCACTATTAGGTTTGCAAACAAGATAAACCCAGTTTCAAACAGGAATCCATAGTGTTAAAACCATTCTAACCTGTTCTCTGAGATGTTTACAATAGAAGAATTGCACTATTATTTTTCTATAGTAAAAAATTAGTGAAAGCTCAAAGCGGGCAATTTCTGACGTGTGGCTTGAGTCTACTGAGGGGTACCTCAAATCTACTGAGGTTGCCTCAAGTCTAAAAAGGTTGAGAACCATTGGGTTAGACTCCTGGCACAAATCTGAGTAGCCTTGAGGCTGCTGTCTTGCACAGACTACAAGCAGTCGCAAGGGCCATTCCAGTAGTTGC